AAGCGCTTGCACACATCAATGTTTATTGAGGCATTATTTGATTGCTACGACATGGAACCAACCCAAATGTCCACAAACAGATGAATGTATTGAAAAAGTGTGGCACATATACTGAATAGAATGGAATACTATTCAGCCATGAAAAATAAGACCCTGGCATTTGATAGAAAGTAGTCAAATATGGAAGATTTATTGCTGAGTGAAGCAAGCCAGGCTATGAAAGAGACATTGTATGTCTCTACTTAATAAATATTGATTGTCCACCCTCTATGGTAAAGATGAGAAGACATAAAAGCAGTGAAAATAGTTATGGACAGTGGAGACAGTGTGGGAAGAAGGGTGGGAGGGGGAAGAGTAGAGAGAAGGAGATCAGGGAGAAAAAAAATAGAGAGGTAAGACATTTGTGGGACACAGAAATGGTTTATTACCTGTTGATGATAATGTGTATAGTATTCTCAACTGGACGGGTCTGGGGTGTATTTCATGTTGGGTAAATTCTCTTTACAAGCCAAATGATGTACAGCGATCAAACATTTAAAAAAATAATAAGAAAAAAATTAAATTTAAAAAATAAGATGGGTACTGTTTTGCTGTAATCAGATTAATGCTGTCATGGTGGGTAGGTCTAGACTACTATTTATTTATTTATTTATTTATTTATTTATTTATTTATTTAGGAGAGGTTTTCTTTTTGCTATAGGGTGTGTGCACTTGCCAGAAAGAGAGAGAGACAGAAAGTGAGAAATCACCCGCCCACAGGGGGGATGGCCATGTTGCAATCCCTTCTCCTCCATTCTCCTCTCAGATCTTGTGCACGCATGCGCACATGCCCAGCATGAGTTTAAGCCACCGGGTCCGGGACTCAAACCGCGGTCGACTACATGGGAGTCTGGCGACACAGCCATTACACCAACTGCTGGTCCCGACATTTTTCTATGTATATTAATACAAAATTTATTTTTCCATTTTTTTTAAGCTTTGCTCTAGAGCACATGTGTTCACTGGAGAAAGAGAGAGAGGTAGGAGAATAAAGTGAGAAACCACCTCCATGGGGGATGGCCACACTGCAATCTCTCCCATTCTATTCTCAGGACTTTGGACACTCACACACACGTGCCCAGCATGATTTTCAAGCTGAAAGATTTGGGACTCAAACTGCAGAGTTGGGCATATGGGATCCAGCTACCTTAAACTCCATGCCTTCTGCTGGCCCATACACTGTTTAAAGTATATCACAAGACCAGGTGGTCTTCTCTTGTGTAAACTTATTATTGAAATATTAAACACACATCTATGTTCTTCGCTAATCTTACAATAAAATTCATACCATTTGGGAACCAGCAGATGGCACAATGGTTACATCACTGGACTCCCATGTAGTTGACCTTGGTTCAAGTCCCAGACTCAGCAGCTTAAAACGCACGCTGGCACATGTGCGTGCATGCCCAAGATCCAGAGAGGAGAATGGAGGATAAGGGACTGCAGCGGCCGTACCCCTAGGAGGTGATTTCTCACTTTCTGGCTCTCTGTCTCTCTGGCAAGGACACATGCCCTACAGCAAAAATCTCTGTAAAACTATATAATAAAATAAATACATATAATTTTGTGTCAGCATTTATTTATTTTTTTATTACCAGAGAGTATGTGTGCTTGCCAGAGAGAGAGGAGAAACCACTTCCCTATGCAGTGTGGTCATGCCTCAATCCTTTTCCTACATTTCTCCAACCCATTAGGATATTGGATACCCACCCACACGCACTGGCATGTTTTTCTTTTTCTTTTTAATATGCCAGACAGTGGGACCAGCAATTGGCATAATGGTTATGTCACTGGACTCCCACGGAGTTGACCACGGTTCAAGTCCCAGACCTGGTGGCTTAAACTCACGCTGGGCGCATGTGCGTGCGTGCCCAAGATCTCAACAGGAAAATGGAGAAGAGTTTGCAGCATGGTCATCCCCCTGGGGGGTGATTTCTCACTTTCTGTCTCTCTGTCTCTCTCTGTCTTTCTGGCGAGCATATACCCCTATAGCAAAAACCTCTCAAAAAAAATATATGCCAGAGGGTGCATGTCCTCACCAGAGAGAGTCCGAGAGATAGAGAGACAGAGACAGTCAGAGAAAACACCACCTAACGGGGCATGCATACACAAGCACTCTGTGTTTTTCAAGCTGCTAGTGCCAGAATTTGAACTATAGGCCACCCTGTGGAATCTGGTTCCCAATACACAGCACTTAACCACCAGATGACAGGGCCAGCCCTCAGAATTTAATCAAATACAAATACACAGTGTTTTCCTTTTGAGAGGATGGTCACCCACTCATGCACAAAATTGAGGCAATGTTTTATCTATTTTAGATTGTTAATAAAAAACATACAAATTTTATAGAGCTAGTTGTCCCCAGTAATGTGAACACAGGTGCACAGGCATCTAAGAAATGTTCATTTATTTTGTAATTTGTTCATCGCATCAGGGCAATGCCACTACAAAATACAAGAACCTGGGGAACAGCAGATGGCATAATGGTTACGTTGTTGGCTTACCATGTGGTTGGCCGTGGTTCAAGTTCCAGACCCAGCGGCTTAAACTCATGCCAGGCGCAAGTGTGTGCGTGCCCAAGATCTCAACAGGAGAATGGAGGAGAAGGGATTGCGTTGTAGCCATACCCCCCAGGGGGTGATTTCTCACTTTTTGTCTCTCTGTCTCTCTCTGTCTCTCTGGCAAGTGTATGCACCCTACTGCAAAAATCCCTCTTAAAAAAAAAATACACCAACTATGATGACTCTTCAGTTGTTCCTGTTCTCCCAGAAGCATTTGAGTTTTCATTCAAACATTTCCTTATGAGGTTCTGCCTTGCTCCAAACTGCCTCAGGACCTCCTGGCCAGAGAAGCAAGACAGAGAGATGATGAGGACAAACAAGTTCTACTGGGGTAGCCCTGTCAGCAATAGTCCAGGTGCTATAGCACTGGGTCAGGTCCTACAGGAATCTGGGACAAATGGCCCGGGAACGCTCTAGAGGAGAGAGTTCAACCTTCTCCTAACATCTCAAGCTCCTAGTCCTCCTCCTTTAGTCCAGAAATTAGAATCAAATCCGAACCAGAAGCCACTGCAGTTCTAGCCATCAGATTCGGTTCCTTCAGAGATTTCCCCCATGATTCTGAATAGTCATGAGCATGGGTGTGATTCTGCCGTGATATGATGAGGAACACGGTTCCTGCCCATTCCCATTCAGAGATGGAGTAAACAAGGTAAGTGAAAGTCCTTGAGAGAATACAGAATATACCTTCCACTTTCTGCACAGAAGACACACGACTGGTGTAGGTGCCACTCAAAGTTGCCCCCACACCAGTGGGCCTGGTCTCCCACAGCACAGGTCATCCTGGGTAAAGGTCTCTGCCGGCACTGGGTGGCTCTTGGTTGCAGGTACTTGGATACAGGTACTTGGTCCCTACCTTGCTTTTTGTTTTTGCTCTGGAAAGCTATATCACATCCCATAAAACCCTTTGCTGGGAGTCTTTTTAGATAGAGCTACCAAATTTTCTCTCATAATTACAAGCTTTTATAAGATTCACTTCTGGTGTGCAGAAAAATAAATCGAGCAAAATACTGGGTGAGGCCAGCCCTTCAGCAGGCAGAGGGAGGTGCTGGAAGAGGCTGAGTGCAGGAGCTGGGGGGGTCCACTTCTGCCCAGCAAGATTGTCCCACTCCCTGTCCTTTAGTTCTGAGCCAAGGTTGCACAGTTCATCTCTGAGTAATGAAGAAAACTTGAGGGGCAGGCAAGTGTGGTAATTAAGGGTACTGGATTCCCACGTGGCCAACTATGGTTCAAGTTCCGGACCTGGCGGCTTACTTTCTTACTTTCCCTCTCTCTCTCTCACTCTGTCTCTCTGTGGTCAAATTAAAATAAATAGTCAAAAGAAAAAGGAACAAAGAAAACTTGAGATAGGCTGGGATCTACAACAATCCTCTCTCTGATCAAATTAAAAAATAACAATAATAATAAATAAAATAAAATCATTCTTTTTTAAAAAGAAACTTATGATGTGTTAGAGAAAAGAAAGCAAACGAAAAAGGAATTTATACTAGCAGAACAAAATCATGAAGAATCAAGCAATGAGGAGAATTTGTCAGGATGAGGTAGTTAGGGCCAGCCTGTGGTGTGGTGGTTAGGGGTGCTGGACTCCCACAAGGCTGACTGCTGTTCAAGTCCTGGACCTAGCGCCTTGCTTTCTCTCCACCTCCCCCCACCCCTCTCTGTTAAACTGAAATTTAAAAAAAAAATTTTTTTTAAAGAAGTAGAAGTTAAAGGTGAGAAGATTCTGGTTAGAACAAATAGATATTAAAGATTAGAGGGTTAACAAGTCACTGGCCACAGTGACTAAGGCACTTGATCCCATATGGCCAACTGTGGGGTTTGAGTCAGCTTGAAAAACACACCACGCACACGCCATGCGTGTCCCAAATCCCAAGAGGACACTGGAGGAGAAGGGATTGCTGCGTGGCCATCTCCCTTAGAGGGTAAGTTCTCATTTTCCCTCTCACTCAACTATCTCTTTAGCGTGAGCTTACATACTCTGGCAAAAAAAATTTTTTTTAAAGAAAAAGGGTTTGCAAGCCACAACGCCAAAACCCAACCCCACGCCATCTCCACTCCGTCCCAAATCTCTTGCCCCGGAGATAGACCCTGCAGAGAGCTGGAAAGCCAGAGGTTAGGTTAACCAAGCGTCAACCCAATGCAGCCCTTACAGAACAAAAGCATCCCATTGGGGACGAAGCGATTATCCAAGGCAGCACAACACATTCCACCGCCCGCAGGTGACCGGGACACCTGACCATACCACCCTCACCCACGCAGCGCTCCGAAGCCACGCAGCTACCGGCGACCACAGTGCCCTGGTTCCCGCAGACACCTTCCCCGGAGACCTTCCCTGAGAATCCCTCCAACCCCCCGTGGGTAGCAAAGTCCAATGCGGCCGCTGGAAGCGGGGAATCAACTAACCGTTTGGGACAGGACTGGCGGGGCGAGGCAGGGCAGCACGATAGGTAACAGGTAGGTAACAGGTAGCGCCCACCCCTAGCGCTCTCCAGACTGCCTGCCTCGGTGGGCGCAGATGCCTTATAACCTGCGGGAGCTAGAGCATGCGCACGGGGGGCGGAGCCCGCTCTCTCGGCACAGCCCCTTGCCCGAGACTCCGCTGGCCAATCCGGCGCATGCTGGCCCGCTCATCGCCCCGGGACTCCCGGGAGCCTCCAGTCCACCTGCACGCAGCCGGTCGAAGGTGTCGGTCTCAGCCCCCGAGTTTTTTCAGAGAAAAGAGATAAGTCGCACATTGCAGGAGTCCAACCCGGCGGGGCTCCAGGACCCGTCTGAGCCCTTTGACCTTTGAGCACCGCTTCGGGGTTGGTTCAGTACTTGGCACCGCTGCTACTGTACGCTCCTGACCTTGGAAAAATGCTTGGGTCAATTAGCATGTCAGCATGGTGGTTTGCTGCTATCCGCTCTGGGAAATGTAGTAGCCTTGCTGGGAAGTGATTCCCCCCTCTGACTCTCTGATATACTACTATAAAAGAATTACATAGTTTTCTCATACATCTTTGTAGTAAGATTTTCCCAAAATTCCTCGACCACTCTCCTTTACCCTGATCACTTACTGTTTATTACAGTGCTTCATTGGGCACAATAAAGGGTGTGCTAAAGTTCGTCTTGATCTTTGGAAGGCCATTCAAAACACATTTAATATAAACTTAAAAATTCCCTCTTAGGCAGAAACTGACCCAGGACATCCCTGCCTCACTGTAGCTAATGTTCTGACAAGGTACATGACAGTGGCAACACAAGCACAATAGAATGCCTAGGTGTGCCACAAAGTTTTTCATTAACTCATTAGTCACTTCACCACCAGTTGAAAAGGCTGTATCCCCGCCCTCACCAAGTGAACACTAACTTCACCCTTTCAGGATAGGTAAATATATTAGGATTCCTTTAAATAAATCTCAGATCTCTATAGAATTATATAAATATCATTCTTTATTGAGATCCATAAGAACTAATATCTGTACTTGAGATTATTAAAACCTTATGAATTGATAATTAGAACACATAGCCTCTCTCCCATTTACTTGCATGTATCACATTTTCAATAAAAAGGCACGATGATTCCAAACAGTTGTCACTCCTCAGAGAGCAATCTCTGGGGGTGTCCGGCTGAGGACATGCATGAAAAGGCACCAAGACCTTAGTCTTCCTTTCCAGCATTGCCTCTGACGAGTCAACCCATCCCCGCCGAGGCTGGACCCCGGCAGCACATGAGGCTGTCTCTGAAGTATGGGAGTGATGCATGTGGGGTAGCCGGCAAGCGACTGCAAGGGGAGGGATTGGCAGCCTTTGAATGGACACGGGGAAAGCCGGAGCCTGGGCTGTGGACTCGGCCATGTTTGGATGCCAGCTGGGGCCTGGTACTTTAGTTCAGTGACTTCTGGGAAGTTTCTTAAACTCTGGGCCTTTTTGTTCGACTCTGAAATTGCAAATGTAACAGAATAGACTTCATAGGTTCATTAGAAAGTTTTGGTGAGAGAGGTTTTTTGTTTGTTTTTAGTTTTTTGCCAAAGGGCACATGCTCTTGCTGGGGAGAGTCACTGAGAGAGGAAAAGTGAGAAAGCACCACCACCCCCTACCCTTCCTGTCCTATGGCAATTTCATCCCTCCCTCCCTCCTTTAGGGAGTTCGTTCATGCATTGCACAACCCTATAGGTTGCTGACAAATTGATATATACTATAGCCCACAAAAATAAACAAAACAGGAGAATTCCGTTCAAAGGCATCCCTGAGCCCGCCGAGTTGGTACCATGAGCAAAGCTCACCCTCCCGAATTGAAAAAATTTATGGACAAGAAGTTATCATTAAAATTAAATGGTGGCAGACATGTCCAAGGAATATTGCGGGGATTTGATCCATTTATGAATCTTGTGATAGATGAGTGTGTGGAGATGGCAACTAGTGGGCAACAGAACAATATTGGAATGGTGGTAATACGAGGAAATAGTATCATCCATCATGTTAGACGCCTTGGAACGAGTATAAATAATGCTGTTCAACAGAAAAACCCATGTCCCCTTGTCAACAGGCCCGTTTTTACTATGATGTAAAAATCAGGTCATGTACATTTCCATAATAAACTTTTTGTTAAGTAAAAACAAAACAAAACAAAACAAAACAAAACTATTAGAAACCCTGAATGTTTCTCAAGCCACCAGGTCCAGAACTCCAACCCTGGACAGCCATATGGGACCCATCTAAACCACCAAACTAAGCCCTGGCCAGGTGAGAGTTTTGCGGTTAGAACTTGGCTTGTGGCTTTGATAAATAGTGAGTGTCAGAGACAAGTCAGGAAGAAAGAGGAGGTGGAGGTGGGGAGTCTGGCTGGGATGAGGTAGGGCTGCACCTCTGTAACAGGGAGAAATGAGGGTGCAGAGAGCCCACACTTCATGGACGCTGAATGTCAGGGCCAGAGTGAAACTATAGCTCACAGTGCTGGGCTGATGGAAGCTAAGCCCCTCACCTGAATGATCTCCTCTAATCCTCACAATCCTCACCCTGCGAAGTAGGCCTGGGAACATTTTGTAAACAAGGGACTGGGGCTCAGAGAGGTCAAGTCACCTTGCACAGATCACAGGGCTCCTAAGGGGCCAACAGCAGAGCCTAATTTTGTTGTAGGTTCTTGACCAACTCCAGGTACCTAAGGGGGTCTGTTGAAGTGATCAAGCAATAATCATGGAGTGCTCTGATGTACCGCACTTCTGAGAAATGAGAGAAAGTAGGAGTCAGGGCCCCTGCCTGCAAAGTGCCTGTGTGTTGTTGGTGGAGAGTGAGTCAGACACCCATCAGCATTTGTTGAACACTTGCAAGCAGGCCAGGACCCTGTCCTTTCCTGGTGTTTTGCTTCCATCCACCTCTCCCCACACACCCCTCCTTTTATTCTCACAACAACCCCCTGAGGCAGGTCTTGTCCCACTTTTGCAATGAAGAACCTGGCGTTGAGGAGGACCAGGGGTTGGGGAATCAGATCCTGAGAGGTCCCCTATGCTTTCCTCTCACTCCTTGGGCCTCAGTTTCACACTAGTTTTCAGTAACAGTTCAACATGGTAGAAAGGCAGTGTGGAATCCGCGACCAAGTCCTGCTTATGAGCGGAAATTGCTTTTTATGTCACATAAATGCAGAGAAGGGGAAGACAGTTCAGGTCCTTGGGGTGGCAGGACTCAGAGCAGCGGAGCTTTAGAATTGTTAGGGTGGCCCCAGCAATCAGGTAGCTGAGTCAGGAGAGATGAGTTAGGGAGACAGGAGACTGATTCAGGTGTGAATTAATTAATTAATTAATTTATTTATTTATTTATTTATTTTCTTTCAGGTGTGAATTTATTAAGAGCCTACACCAGGGACTGTAGTGGAAACTAGTAAAATAAAGTGATTCCCAGGGACCAGGTGGTGACGCACTGGTAATGTAACTAGACCCACATGGGAAAGGTCCCTGGTTCGTGTTCTGGGACCTCCCTGAACTTGTCAGGTACATGCGTGCTCATGATCTGGGCTAGCTGAGACAGGGAGTTGATTGCAGTGTGGGGACCCTGGTGAGCCTGCCAGCTTTTCTCTCTCTTTCTGAGAATAAATAAATGAACTTTAAAAAAAAAAGTAATTCCCAGAAAACTACTCAAGGAAGGCTTATAAACTACTCAAGGATGAGTGGGGAGTTCAGGAGAAAATGAGCGACAGACAAAGGAATGCATGTGAACGGGGAGTAGGTTAGGGAACTGGAAACCACAGCCAAGGAAATAGCGGGTTGTCAGAAAAGTCATGACACATTTTTCTGTCCTTCTATACAAAAATGCATCACAATTTTTCCACCAATCCAATATGTTGCTGACAAGTCAATGTCTATTACTCCACACACACATTAAAATAAATAAATAAATAATAAAAAAAAGAAAACTATTAGAGAATAAAAAAGGCAGCAGGCTGGTGGATTTACAATATGGATTTAGGAGCCAGACTGCCCAGTTTTCTTTTTTCTTTCTTTTTTCTTTTTTTTTTTTTTTTTTTTTTGGAAAGGTTTTTTCTTTTTTCTTTTTTGGAAAGGTTTTTGCTATAGGATGCATGCACTCTCCAGAAAGACAGAGGCAGAGAGCAGAAAGTGAGAAATCGACCCCCAGGGGGCAATGGTCATTCTACAATCCCTTCTCCCCCATTCTCCTCTGAGCATCTTGGGCACACACGCACACATGCCCGGCGTGAGTTTAAGCCACCAAGTCTGAGACTTGAACTGTGGTTGACTACATGGCAGTCCAGCAACATAGCCATCATGCCAACTGCTAGTCACCAGACTGCCCAGTTTTCAAAAGGGGAAAGTACCTAATTCTTAGGGCTATTGTATTAATAAAATTAGTACTTATAAGGCACTTAGGACAAAGCCTGGCTCAAAGCAAGTGCTAAGTATTTGTTAAATACTTTATTTAAATATTAAGAAGAAAAATTTTTTGAGAAATATTTGCTTCGGATGCATGTACTTGCTGGAGAGACAGGGAGAGACAGAGAGATAGAAAGCAAGAAATTACCCCCCCTCCGGGGTGGGGGAGAGATCATGCTGCAATCCCTTCTCCTCCACTCTTCTCCTGGGATCTTAAGCACGTACACACATGCTCCCAGCATGAGTTTGAAGCCACTGGGTCTGAGAGTCGAACTGCAGCTGGCCATATGGGAGTCCAGTGAGGTAACCACTAGGCCATTTTCTGGCCTTCGAGAAAATAATTTTTGTAATAATTTTCAATAGCTTTTTTTTGTTTTTGAAGAGAGATTTTTTGCTATAAGATATGTGTGGTTGCCAGAAAGACAGAGAGAAACAGAGACAGAAACTGAGAAATCACCCTGGTGGGGATGGCCATGCAACAATCCCATTCTCCTCTCAGGATCTTGGGCATACACGCACATGTACCTAGCATGAGTTTTAAGTCACTGCGTGCATGACTCAAATTGTGGTCAACTATGTGGGAGTCCAGTGACAACCATTATGCCATCTGCTAGTACCCAATGGTATATGTTTTTCAAGCTATCTGTCGGGGGGCTCAAACCCCATAATTTTCACTGA